GACCTATACAATTTTTTTCTTTTTGATTTTTTACCTGGATTACTGAGATGCATCAGGACACAGCTGCAGTGAAACTTCACAGACTCGTGTTTGATGAGAAACTTTCTCAGGGAAAAGGAAAACCTTTTCTAAAAAGAAGCATCTTTCTCTGAGAAAGATGCTTCTTTTTCTGAACAGGTTCCCATGCACAGCATCAGCCTTCTGCACACTTTGTGATATTTTATTATGTATTAAAATATTTAGCTCATCCGAGAAACATGTGCTGTGACATTTGGCTTATGGAACTTAAACACTTAAAATAAGGACAAAAAAGCAGCTTTTATCGCCATAGCCATCAGGGCATCAAATCATGCCATATCTCCAGTGCACTGCATGTGCAATGTACAAACAAATACAAAAGCTCACATTTCTTTAAACGTCAAAGATATTTGTGACACATAAGTTGCCCTCACATTCCTTATTTTGAGTTATTCTCACCTTCCACACCTTATTTTTTTTTTACTAATACCTTTATTCACTCGAGCAAGATTGAGCAATTAATGAGTGTTTTTAATTTCATGCATTGTGTGACATAGGCCTAAGTATGATGTATATAATACTTTGTGATACTTTTACTGTGATGCAAAGTGTGTCTAATAAAAACTGCATAAATTAAAAGTGTGAGCTTTTGTCTTGTGAGCTTATGCCAGGGAYTTGCAGCATGCTCAATRATTTCTGTGCTGTGCTTTYTCCTTGGGATAAATAAAGTATTATCAATATGACTTGCTTTGTTTTGTACATCCCAACCCTTTGTCTTTTATGTCTTTTAAACAGCACGTTGTACTCATTACAGTGACAACAAAAATATTCTGATTTTTCTGATTTACATGCTCTCCAGAGGTCAAGGGTCACCTTCTACAAGGTTTCATGRAGCAGGCGGCAGAGTCTGGGGAAGAAAGAGACAAAGCATCCTGACGCAAGGCTAAGCTTTGTAATCAGGGAGGCCACAGCTTCTGTACATATGGTAGCACAAACCAGCAAACACAGAAGCTCCATACGTCAGAGCTCAGCACGCCTCGCTGCCATTGTCCCTATTGTGTGGTGCCATGGATCACCTGCTGGGAAGGCCTGCAGAGCTTAACAATACATTTAAGCAAAGCTAATGAAGCACTTGAGTTCACACCCGTGGAGGTGTCTCATTAAATTGAAGGTACTTCAGTATATTTAAACATATGGATGAACTGCTTTCACTGATCGTTAAAGCAAAAATGACATTTCCTTCAGGATACAGCTCTGCACAATGACGTCCCGTCTATGAAAAAATATATATATACTTAGCTGTAGGAAAAGAAATGACCTRGATTCAAAACCTGACAGGATGAAGCACTCAAGAGTCAAATGACACCTGACGCATCAGTAAGTTAATGATGCATTAGCTGCATCGGTAACATATGAAATAATGAGCGAGTTTTATCAACTCAGAACAAATGAAATATGTTCAGATCAGCGTGATAGTGATGATTATTCATTCTTTGTTATGGAAAAAATAAAAACTTTCGGATATAAGACTTCGATGTTCTGATTTTTCGATATGGACGGCAAAAAGTTGTATTGAAATAGGTTTTGTTTCCAGCTCAAATTTAATTTTATTTATAGCATTTAAAACACTGAAAGTAACTCCATGTAAATGTATGCAATAAAAAAATATCATAAATAGTACAAATTTAAGCCAAACATAGTCCGCTAACAAGCTTGTAAAAAGGTTCTTTATTTCATTTTTTATTTTCTGCTGTTTTGTTTGCCTAAAGCTTCAGGAACTTATAATAACCTCTGAGGTTTTATATTTCTAGCCTTTTTTTGCAAGTGGATAAAGAACATTATTAT